AAGAGCTGATTGTCTATGCCCAGGAGGAGCTGATGCACACAGCGGCCTTGGGGCCCTGGCCCGCCACTTCCTGGCTCAGGACACACTGCTGGTTTTCTTCCCCACCATCCGTTTTGGCTGTGTGTGTGTACAGGGTGGAGCTGTCCCATGGAATTTATTGCCACTCCCTGAATGGTCTCCTTTATCACTCACAAGGCCTGTCATTGTGGTGTGTAGTGCCGCCCGACCTGGTCTCGCCACAAAGCCACCGTCCTTTCTGCCTACTGCTGCCCCGACAGCATCTCACTGCCGGGCATGTCCTGCGGGCCTCGTGATTTATGAGCCTCTCATGGACGTTCTGTCACAGTACACAGCCCTCGTGTCCAAAATGTCCCCTGGGGTCTACAGAGTAAAATGAGTACAGCCGTCCTAATGGTGCCTCTGCCCTAGCTGTGGAAGTTCTAATTTCCACTGTCCCCATTTTGGTTGAGTGTCAGACTATGGACCAAACTTAGACCTGTCTTAGTCTCACTCTCAAAGAGTTTCCACTCTTAAGATAAAATGATAAACAGTACCTTTGGCCACTTGCCTATCTTATTTTAACGAACGTTGTTGATTCCTAACATTTATTTTAAGCTTTTCTCATTTGGAAATTTATTTATTTATACTTTTCTTCTCAATCCCCACATACACCCCACCCCCACCCATACATTTGGTAGGTGGGAGCATGACATTAACGCTTTGTATTTGTTTTAATGACGTTTGCCTGCTGGGGGCTCATGTTATAATTATTTGCAAAGGGCTTAATGCCTCTACAAGCTCATGAACTTGCTGGTGGAATTTGTTCTTGGTTCACTTTTCATCTCCTGTAACAACTTTTCAGTGTATAATAACAGTAGATGCTCAGTAACAGCAAGGATGAATAATGACAGTATCCTGGATGGCATGGACTGTGATTCTGTCCTATGGTTGGGCCATTGCTGTGTTATTTGGAGATGCGGGGCTGCCCAGGATGCTTGCTGGTCTGGCCAGGATGTCAGGGCTGCCGGACAGCTTTTGCACCTGGAGTCTGAGAAACCGCTGGACCCCTTGGCCTAGGGCCCCCTGCTTCTTTCAGACTCTCTGCCTTAAATGTTCAGAAAGAAATTCCTTATGCAGCCCCCTACCTGTATACCCCAGGGCAGAGCTCTTAGGGTTATTCAGTCTGTCCTTAGATCCCTTGCCCAGCCTGAGAGTTTGGGGAGTAGCGCTGCATTAAGTTGGCTCACCCTGGGGCATCTGGTGAGCATTGCTCTGCAGCGTATTCTCCCTTCACAGAGGACCGTGAAGGAGCTTCCGCCCGCCATTTTGTTGCCCAGAGTGGTTGTAAGAATGGCAGCAAAACCGCTGGGCTTGGATGTCTCTTCAGTCTAATCAATAAATTCAGTGTTTTGGACAAGGTGCATCACAGAACATCCTCGGGGATTTGGCAAGAGGCAGGAAAGTACTGGGGAAAGCGCTTGAGAAGGATGGACATTTAAAGTGTAGGTGGCAAGACACCTGATGAGCACAAGGGATTTTCTGTGGTTAAAAAATAGGAGCACACACCTCCCTTCACCCACACTTCCTAACGTTGGTCACTGACAGGGCTTTATCTCGCGCTCCAGCCACCCCGAAGATGGAGCTCCTCTGAAATCTGGGTGCCTTTTCTAAGTTTTTAAAATAGTAGCACAATGCTGCTGGGATGGTACAGCTGTATTTTCACTGTCGTCTCTAACTTGTAATATTGCTTGGTAATTACATGGTGTTCTCCATCTGCAGCTGTAAACACATTATAAAAGTTAACTTTAATTCTCCCAGCATCTCTGCAGAGAGCGGGAGAGGTTGTACCTTTGCGGTTTGGCTGTACATTTGGTCAGGGTTACATCTCATTGAGGCCATTCTTTCCTGTATGTGGTAGAGCTGGGAAGGTCAGATCTTTGCTGCAGATGAAAAACCCGATGTCTCCACAGAAGCAAGAGTGCGAAGGATGAGCCTCCTGACTCTAGCAGACAGGTGTGTGGCCAGGTGTTATTATTATGATTACAGGTTAGATTGCTAGAAACATCCAAAAAACACTGTGTGTTAAAAGATCTAGAATTTTGTTTCTGACATACATTACCTGCTCGTGACATTTAAAAGGAGAAATCCATCACTGCTCCTTTGGCAGTAATTTTTACGGCTTTTATTGCTTTTAAAAAGTCATTTCCTGGGCTTCCCTGGTGGCGCAGTGGTTGAGAGTCCGCCTGCCGATGCAGGGGACACGGGTTCGTGCCCCGGTCCGGGAAGATCCCACATGCCGCGGAGCGGCTGGGCCCGTGAGCCATGGCCGCTGAGCCTGCGCGTCCGGAGTCTGTGCTCC